TTTTTAGTAGAGACGGGGTTTCACCATGTTGACCAGGATGGTCTCGATCTCTTGACCTCGTGATCCACCCGCCTCGGCCTCCCAAAGTGCTGGGATTACAGGCTTGAGCCACTGCACCCGGCCGTTATTTTATTCTCAAATTTTGTTTATTTATTTTTGGTAAGCCATGAATAGACCTTTTCGTGTATCCATCTCTGAAATAACACACATTGTACCCGCATTTAAAATGATGTTGTGCTACTTATTGGCTGTGTGGCCTTGGATGAATTACTTTGCCTCTCTGTGCCTTAGTTCTGTCATCTATATAATGATGAAAATAATACCTAAAAGGAATTATTTCGTATTTATAATGTGTTTAGACCAGTGCCTAAAATATGTGATATAATTTGTCTTTCAGATAATTTATTAAAAGCCATTTTTGGTATTTAACTTGTCTTAAATATAATCATGAGGCCCTAACCAAACTATACCATCTCTTTGTATTTTTTATTTCTATTTCTTAACTTCCTTCAGCCAAAGTATACCGTCTCTTAAAAAAAAAGATTATGTGTTTCATATGAAGCCATGCATCTTGCAAAGATGTGCTGTTGAAAAGTACAACATGCCTGGAAAGGAGTCTGCTTTCTATAAAAGCTTTTATGTTTCTGGTTTGCTTATTTCTAGGTGCCACATCTTAATTAAAATTGTTAACTGGTTGTCTTTATCCATAGCAGTATATAAGGATTCTTAAAATTTGGATTTTTTTTTTTCTTTTTTTATAGAGACGGGGTTTCACCATCTTGGCCAGGCTGGTCTGGAACTCCTGACCTCGTGCACCCACCTCGGCCTCCCAAAGTGCTGAGATTACAGGTGTGAGCCACCATGCCCGGCCAAAATTTGGATCTTATAAACACAGTGTTTTTAAAAATTGACAATGGCTTAAGCCCATTCTCTAGACTGAGGGCTCAGTCTGACTGTAGCTGTTCGCATTGTTAAAGTAACAGTGCTTATCAAACTATTTTCCAAGGAGGTTTTCACCTTCTTTCCATATATAGTCTTTTCTTTTTCTTTCTGAGAATAGAGTTTCACTCTGTTGTGCAGGCTGGAGTGCAGTGGCGGGATCTCAGCTCATTGCAGCCTCCGCCTCCTGGGTTCAAATGATTCTCCTGCCTCAGCATTCCAAGTAGCTAGGATTACAGGCTTGTGCCCCCACACCTGGCTAATTCTGTATTTTTAGTAGAGACCAGGTTTCACTGTGTTTGTCAGCCTGGTCTTGAACTTCTGGTGATCCACCTGCCTCAGCCTCCCAGTGTTGAGATTACATGCGTGAGCCACTGTGCCTGGTCTGAATCTTTGTGTGTCCTGCTTGGCTGTCTCAGTATTCTGCCCTTGGAAATATTGAAAGGAGGTTTTCAAGCTTTAGATTCTTTTGAAAGGATAATTTCCACATTGACAATAGATAGCGTGTTGCGTAAGAACACTTTCATTTGATGTAGTTTGGGTGGGACTGACTCTACTTATTTCCAAGAATGGGGTACTGTGACAGAGACCTAGCCAATCAGGGCTTTTCTTGGAACTTTTGCTGGGACCACTGGGAAAGGGGTTTTCTTTGTTGGGATTCCTAGCTTTAGAGATAATGGTGGTCATCTCTGCCACCATATGAAGAGGAGGTTGAGGCAGGAGAATTGCTCAAACCTGGAAGGCGGAGGTTGCAGTGAGCCGAGATCGCGCCACTGCACTCCAGCCTGGGCTACAGAGCAAGACTCTGTCTCAAAAAATAGTGAATAAATTAAATTTAAAAAAATTTAAAAAAAAACAAACAACTGTTGTGGTATTTGGCTAATTAATGGCCAAAGAGACAGCTGAATACTGCCTGCAATCATTCTGTCTGGTTTGTTGAGATCTAGAAGATTCTATTCTTTGCTGGTGGGTAGTTAACACTTTCATTGTGTTTGTGGTTTTCAAAGTGGAAACACGAATAAAGGTTTATAATGAACTTTTCATTTTTTTTTAAGGCTGTAGATTCACATTTCATTCTTTTATAATGAACTTTTTAAATAAATCTTTTAAATATATTTTTTCTTGGGATGACAATAATAGTATTACTATGATAGTATTAACTTTTTTTTTTTTTTTTTTTTTGAGACGGAGTTTCACTCTTGTCACC